CTCAATATTGTTTTCAATTTTCTCCAACGTACATAGACTGAGGGCAGTCAGTCTCTTTCACATTTTTGGGGACTAAAAACAGTGCCTTATAATAGTGACTTATAACAGTGTCTTTTACGGGTCCTCTATCGCTAATCATTCCATGACATATTCTCCCCAATGGGTCCCACATTCTGTCCAAACAATACGCGTACAGAATGCTTATCAGTCCCTGAAAACATAACCTTTTTTTAAAGAAAAAATTAAAATTAAAATATCTTATTGTCCCATAGCCATTTTGTTGTTTTAATATGTTTTTTCTTGGGTCAAAGTTGTTCAATATGTTTATACATCGGTTCTTTGAACCATTCATAGGTTTTCTTCTTCCCATTCGATTTGCAAACCGTCACTCTTGTAAACCTTGTACTCCGTCGAGCTAAGAGAACCTCCTCCCCAAGAAGAATTTTATCCGACCATGGATTATGGAGATACACTAGAAGAGTCTTTGCATGTTGATTGAAGGAGAGAGCTCATCTTCTTGAAAAGCAATAAATATCTAGATTTAGGACTTAAAATGACCATTTCAAAAAAAAGAAAAGAAAAGAAAATTAGTGTTGAAAATGGAGTAGAAATTCATCTCTGCCCCTGAGAGCATTAAGCCTATTAACCGCATCTGCACTACCACAAACATAAACACACAAATAAATCCTCGAACTTCAGAAACACAATACCCACTAAAAAAAAACAAAGAAATTTATGATTTTGACATAGAGTGAATTCATTGACGAACAAGAGAAATTTCATTAAATTACCCTTCAAACATATTCAAAATGCCATCAACAACGGCAAGAACTTGTCCCATACGTTTTATTTCTACAACCAGTCAAACAAAAACCATGAGTCTCTAAGCAAAACTCATTCAAATGAAAGATTTGTAACACAGATCTAGCCCAAACCAAAAAATGGGTTAGATTTACAAACACAATACCAAGAATTAAATTTAAAACTAGACCAACAAATCCAGACACAACACAATACCAAGAAAAATACGAGAATTATAACCAAAATAATAATAGACAAAAGGGGTGCCTAAAGATTTGAGGCAGAAAAAGAGAGAAGTTTCAAGAAAGTCGTTAAGAGCATCTCCAACTGATGTGTCAAAAGTGCCACATAGATATTTAACGGCAAGAAATAACATCTCACATCACTCCAACTGATGTGTCAAAACTGATGTGGAATGAAGGCTGGAGGTTCAGATGTTTACACCATAATCAACCGAGCATACCCAGCACCAAGAGCATCAACACCATGACACATGTCACCACCACAGCGACTTGCGCAAAGTCCCACATCGGAAATCTACACAAACCTCCCACTTTCACCTCCCTATAAATAGGGAATAGTATCCATGTGAAAAGGGGACTTCTCTCTCTCCACTTAGAAGAGGATCCGGGTCTCAAGCTAGACCCTAGGGCTGGGGACTCTCTTCTAGATCCCTACCTAGGCATCTCACTTGTCATCTTTATATTCGGGTCCAACCCCAATGTACAAATGTAATCATACACTATTATAATGAGAACACACTTCTCCGTGGACGTAGCCCATTCATTAAGGGTGAACCACGTATATCTTGTCTTCTTTACATTTATCGCTTGCCCAAGTCTTTACACACATGCTTAAGGTCCTCACCTTCATCCATCATCCATCACACATCATCACTAAGTTGGACTCATTCTTGGCCTAACCAATTTGAGCATCAACAGTTTGGCGCCGTCTGTGGGAATCGATACAAAAGGCTTATGTCGTTCTCTCCTTCCTCAGTGCCCTTCGGCACCCATACAATCTTCATCATATAGCTTGAGCGATGCCTTCGGCACCCAGCTATCAATCGGCATGAAAGATGCCTTCAACACCCACCTGCCTAGCCACATTGCCTTGCAACACGCAAGCTTTTGTTGTCACCTCTGTGCCTAGCCACAATACCTTGCAACATGCGAGCTTTATGTTGACTTCGGCACCCCCGTGCCTGGCCACATCTTGTGTCGCCTTAGGCACCATTGTGCCTAGCCACATTGCCTTGCGACACGCAAGCTTTGTGTTGCCTTCGGCACCCTCTGTGCCTAGCCACAATACCTTGCAACATGCGAGCTTTGTGTTGCCTTCGGCACACCCCGTGCCTGGCCACATCTTGTGTCGCCTTAGGCACCATTGTGCCTAGCCACATTGCCTTGCGACACGCAAGCTTTGTGTTGCCTTCGGCACCCTCTGTGCCTAGCCACAATACCTTGCAACATGCGAGCTTTGTGTTGCCTTCAGCACCCTCGTGCCTAGCCACATTGCCTTGCGACACGCAAGCTTTGTGTTGCCTTCGGCACCATCGTGCCTAGCCACATTGCCTTGCGACACCCAAGCTTTGTATCGCCTCCTGCACCATCGTGCCTAGCCACATTGCCTTGCAACATGCAAGCTTTGTGTTGCCTTCGGCACCTCTGTGCCTAGCCACAATACCTTGCAACATGCGAGCTTTGTGTTGCCTTCGGCACCCCCGTGCCTGGCCACATCTTGTGTCGCCTTAGGCACCATTGTGCCTAGCCACATTGCCTTGCGACACGCAAGCTTTGTGTTGCCTTCGGCACCATCGTGCCTAGCCACATTGCCTTGCGACACCCAAGCTTTGTGTCGCCTCCTGCACCATCGTGCCTAGCCACATCGCTCTGCGATACGCAAGCTTTGTGTTGCCTTCGGCACACCCGTGCCTAGCCACATCTTGTGTCACCTTCGGCACCATCATGCCTAACCACATTGCCTTGCGACACGCAAGCTTTGTGTCGCCTCCGGCACCATCGTGCCTAGCCACATCTTGTGTCGCTTCGGCACCATCATGCCTAGCCACATCGCTCTACGACGTGCAAGCTTTGTGTTACCTTCGGCACCTTCGTGCTCAGCCACATTGCCTTGCGACACGCAAGCTTTGTGTTGCCTTCGGCACCCCCCGTGCCTAGCCACATCGCTCTGCGACACGCAAGCTTTATGTTGCCCTCGGCACCATCGTGCCCAGCCATATTGCCTTGCGACACGCAAGCCTTGTGTCACCTTCAGCACCATCGTGCCTAGCTACATCGCTCTGCGACACGCAAGCTTTGTGTTGCCTTCAGCACCCTCGTGCCTAGGCCCATCATTTTGCTACATGCAATTCTTATGCCTTCGGCACCCTCGTGCCTAGGCCCATTTCCTTGCGACATGCAATTCTTGTGCTTTCGGCATCCAAGGCCCAGCAACTTCACCACTACCAAAACGAAAAAGCCCAGCCCGTGCGCACGAGGCTCAACAAAATCACAGCTCCAAGCCATCATTTCAACCCAAGGAACCACCTTTCAGTCACATTGAAAGAGTCTCAATTTAGAGGTGGCCAAATATCCCAAATGCACCAAGGATATCACCATGCATGGCTTGCGCATGGCCAAGGAAAAATTACTCCAGATAAGATTTCTCTTCTTACATATAAATATTGCATACGAGCATGTAATATTTAAATAATTTATTGCACAATTCTATTCAACAATATGGTTCATGAATATTGCATATGAATAAAAGCTGTCCGGGCCACTTTGAAGATGCTCCAATTTGGCAAGTGCCAAATATTCCAAGTCACCGACAGCATCACTTTGCAGGGCTAAGGAGGCCAACCACCATTTCAATCTAATGAGAAGCCGACATGACAACTAGCTGAAAGCCTGGAGCAATTTAGATGGCTAAGCCATACGGCACCTAGCCACTAAACCTATCAAAACACCCAATGGGAAGCAGCTTCAAATTCAACGGCATTCAATGGCACACCCAAGGACACCGAATGGCAGCCATACCCCACCTTCTCCGGAAAATTTTCACCAAATTTCAAATGGCCCAGCTCCAATTTCAAGTGATCAAGTGTTTCGCACCAGCTGCACAGGCCCACAAAAGTGCTTCCCAAACTGATCACAACGAATGGCCAACTCATGAAAGAGATTGGGGACTGAAAATGGCACGGGCCAGCTTCAAGCCCCGAGCCCAACTCCAATTTGCGCCGAATCCTCAGCAGCCCGTGCGCACAAATTACCCAAGGCCCAGCCCTTGAAGAAAGGCACAAAGGCCCACACCAAGTTGCCAAATCAGGCAGTCCAACACCAAAACCGAATAGCCCAACTGCTTGACCGCAAGTACAGCCAAACTCCAAAAGAAAATCATTCGTGCCCAGCTAGCTCCCTTGCCGAATCCACCTTGCCCCTTCTTTCAAATTGATCTGGGCACCCACACAAGTCCAAGTATGAAAATCTGATCAAGGCACCCAGCCTTCCGAGCCCAGCTCTACGAAATTTCACAATGGCCCAGACCCCATGTAACCTCACGCCAGCGCTTCCGAACTCACTTCACCAACTCACAAGGAGGCCTCAAATATTTCCAACCTGCCTTTGCCGAACGCAAGACAAATAGGAGGCTCACCAAAATCCCCAATTCGGAATGCCTAGCTCTGGCCCCCAGCTCAAGTTCCTGGCTTCAAGACAAAGTGGGCAGCAAGTAAACAATAAGAAAAAAAAACTGCCTGCGGGCAAGGCCCATTAAAGCAATTTGAGAAGCATGACAAATACCTGCCAAAGTCACCAATCACCATTGTCAAATGCCGAAACCCACGGAACCACAACACCAGTGCCTCAGCTCCAAATCCAAGCTCCAAAACTTGGTGAACGTTGAGACTCTTGATTTTCTGACGAAAATAACCAAGAACACAGCCACCTGCCTTGGTGATATTGAAGACCCCAGCACCTCAAAAACTTCAAATTCACTCTAGGCACCCTTGCTGCGAATTTGAGAAAGCCCACAGAAGCCACGATCCCAACTCAAGCATCCCCGGCTCCAAGCCACCTACCGAAGGACTATACACCCCAGCTCCAAGCCACCTACCAAAGGACCTAAGTCATCGACTTCCCAGCTCCAGCATCCCCGGCTCCGTGTTTTTCAAACACCCTTGCGGAACCAAATCTAGAATGCCAAGCTTGCTGAACGAAGGGACTTGTGATGCACCGACGGGAGAAACAAAAGACCTAAGCCAAGTTGGGTCTCTTGCCGAACGACACCTGCCGCCTAAAAATTCTTCCTCCTCGCAGCCCTCTCGAAGGCCCAGCTCCAAACTCTTGCTAAATCTGCAGAGCTGTAGAAGCCTCTCCGAACGGCAGGTTTCGTACTCAGACACCTTAACTAAGGGACTCGGTCACCTTGATGAGAATGCCCAGCTCAAGAGTATCGAAGCTGTGAAAAATAGGGGACTTGGCTCTGTCGCCGCAGCCCCAGCTCCTATTTTCAAACCAGGGCCTTAGCTTCCAGCTACCGAAAAGAAAAAGAGGAAATAAAAAAGTCTCAGCTATTGCTTGCCGAACGGCAAGGTTCATAAGGAGAGATATATACCCCTCACAATCCGAAACACCCTAGCAACTAACTGGGAATGGGACACCTGCCGAAGCCCAGCTGTGGAACTCGGGCAGGTTCCGTAAAAAAAAATAAAAAGGAGGCACACCAATCCTCATCTAAACCTAGCAACTTGAGCCAAGCCTTGCCGACACTTGGAGGGGCCCAGCTTCAAAATCCCTTGAGAGATACTCACAATACCTTTTGCCAATTCATATTTGGCCAAGACCTATTCCTTTTTTTCTTTTCTTTTTTAACCACCTGCCGAAGCATGGAGAACTTGCACAAACAATTCATATTTGGCCATCTTACCAAAGCAAAGACAACCCATTATTCCTCAAGGCACAGCTTTTTACTCAAGGGCCTAGCCCCATGCCAAAGAAATAAGGGCCCAGCCCTTGCACACTGGTCAGCCCAAGCCACTATATTTAAGAGGCTCACAAATTTTCCCCAAGCCCATGCCACATGGCCATCCAAAAAAAAAATTGCATGGCTTGCATGGCTCACCACAATTCAAACTAGTCCAGCTCCAAAATGGCCCAGCTCCTCAAATCCTTGGCCAATACTCACAGCTCCCGTGCCTACACAAAAAGCTCAGCCTGTTGACCCCAGGTCTTTTCCAATAACTGAAAAATAATTTCCTAAGTCCCAGCTCCAGGCACAAACTTAAAGAGCCCGGCTCTTTACTTTTTGAAATTTTCTCCCCAAGCACACAAAACCCCAGCCACCTATGGCTCAGCCAAAACCCATGACCCAGGTCCTCATGAGCTCACACCCAAACTTTTGGAACCTACCGAAGGCCTAGCACACCAAGGTTTCAAAAAAAAAAAAAAAAAAAGGCCTAGCTTCCTTGCCGAACGGCAAGGAGCATAAAAGTTTTTGGGGATGCATGGCTTACAATTCTGGCCATAAAAAAAAAAAAAAGAAAAGTTGGGGCCACACTTTGCATGCTTGCATGGCTTAGGGAGCATTGAAACTAAAGGATACCAAAGGTGCTAAAAGCCCAACCCTTTTTCCCAAAGCCACCGAAGCATCAAGGCCCCCGCCCCTTGCGGCCCAGACCCGGCTTCCTCACCAAATGCCCAGGTACCCAGCTACCAACAATACTAACAGCTAACACAGCTTTTCTTATACACTCTAAATGGTGACGCAACTTCTAGCTTGCAAACTTGGGGGACTAGGGAATGCCCTATGGCTCCCATCGAACCTGGAATGCTCAGTCACGATTACACAAAAACTCACAAGTTCCCAACCCAGAAGTCACTTCTTAACTGCGAACTTGGGGGACTACTGTTTACACCATAATCAACCGAGCATACCCAGCACCAAGAGCATCAACACCATGACACATGTCACCACCACAGCGACTTGCGCAAAGTCCCACATCGGAAATCTACACAAACCTCCCACTTTCACCTCCCTATAAATAGGGAATAGTATCCATGTGAAAAGGGGACTTCTTCTCTCCACTTAGAAGAGGATCCGGGTCTCAAAGCTAGACCCTAGGGCGGGGACTCTCTTCTAGATCCCTACCTAGGGCATCTCACTTGTCATCTTTATATTCGGGTCCAACCCCAATGTACAAATGTAATCATACACTATTATAATGAGAACACACTTCTCCGTGGACGTAGCCCATTCATTAAGGGTGAACCACGTATATCTTGTCTTCTTTACATTTATCGCTTGCCCAAGTCTTTACACACATGCTTAAGGTCCTCACCTTCATCCATCATCCATCACACATAATCACTAAGTTGGACTCATTCTTGGCCTAACCAATTTGAGCATCAACATAGATATTAACGGCAAGAAATAACATCTCACATCACTCCAACTGATGTGTCAAAACTGATGTGGAATGAAGGCTGGAGGTTCAGAGATGTTATTTTTGACATCCCAAAAGAAAGATGTCAAATGAATATTTTATTATTTTTCTTTTCTTTTTTTTCTTTTTAATTAAAATAAATCAACACTAAATATAATAAAATAATAATTTAATTTCACATATCGGGTGGATTGCAAAGCTATGTAAGATGTCAAATTACCACATCAGCCATCAAATTTAAATTTGATGTTTGGTATTTGAATCTTCCTTGGAGATGCTCTAAAGTGAAGAAAGAGAAAGATTAATGGATGAGAGAAAGGGATGGCAGAAGAGAGAGAAGATAAATTGGTACATAACCTTTTTTAATATTTAAAATAGGAAGTAAAATTAATTGCCATCTGTTGATGTTTTATTGGCTTGGAACACTTGCGTGGTTTGCTGACAGTGGCATCGCTGTTATAGGGAAATTTTCTCATAGAGAATGAACTAGGAATCACCATTCAAGACTTTTCTCAAGCAATGAAAGCCGGGTATGAAATTAATTAAGTGCTTTATTTTTCCTTTGTCGGAATTGATTGCATACCTATTTTTCTTTTGTTTGAATTAAGTGCATACCTATCTCTAATTGGAAAGGGCTTTGACTTGTTGAAATGTGTTGTGGTGGGGAACACAAGTCTCAATATTGCATTAAATTTTCTCCCAATGGGTCCCACATTATGTCCAAACAATACGCATACATGCATTCTAAATACATCCGTACCTAAGAGCAAGTCCACCCTTGCTTCAAAACCGGGCAAAAGGCAACCCAGAGGGGAAGGAAGCAGCTCCAGCGCGCAAGGGCCAGCCCTGGCAAGAGCTGGGTCCCACGAGCCCAGGCAAGCCCACGGGCAAATTCAGCCCGAGCTGCTGCCAGGGCAAACTAATGCAATGCTGACGTCATAATGATGTCAACAACCAAATAAATAAATAAAAAAAAAAAAAAAAAAAATCCAGAATCCATGAATTTTTTAATAAATACCTAGGCATATTCTTTACTTCCCACACCAAAAACTATATACAAATTCATCTCCTCATATCTCATATGAATAGCATTTGCCTTAGACTTACCCTAGACTTAGCTCTCATGGGTGGAACCACAAATGCAAAGGCTGACACTATTCACATGAATAGTGGCAGCCCTTGCTTGCCCTTGCCTTAGACATAGCCCTTGTGGGTGGAAGTGCTCTAATAGAATTAAAAGGTACAGAATGCTTATCAGTCCCTAAAAACATAAAACCTTTTTTCTTTTTCTTTTTTAATATATGATTGTCCCATAGCCATTTTGTTGTTTTAATATGTTTTTTCTTGGGTCAAAGTTATTTCGATATGTTTAGACATCAGTTCTTTGAATCATTCATCGGTTTTCTTTTTCCCATTTCCCATTCGGTTTGCAAACTGTCACTCTTGTAAACCTTGTACTCCGTCACTCTTGGAAGAGTCTTTGCATGTTGAACTGAAGGAGAGAGCTCATCTTCTTGAAAAGTAATAAATATCTAGATTTAGGACTAAAAATTGACCATTTCAAAAAAAGGAAAGAAAAGAAAATTAGTGATGAAAAAGGAGTAGAAATTCACCTCTGCCCCTGAAAGCATTAAGCCTATTAACCACATCTGCACTACCTTAAACATAAACACACAAATAAATCCTTAAAATTCAGAAACACAAATACGTACGCACTAAAAAAACAAAGAAATTTATGATTTTGACAGAGAGTGAACTGATTGATGAACAAGAGAAATTTCATTAAATTACCTTTCAGACAGATTCAAAATGCCATCAACAACAACAAGAACTTGTCCCATACGTTTTATTTCTACAACCAGTCAAACAAAAACCATGAGTCGCTAAGCAAAACGCATTCAAATGAAAGATTTGTAACACAGATCTAGCCCAAACCAGAAAATGGGTTAGATTTACAAACACAATATCAAGAATTAAATTTAAAACTAGATCAAGAAATCCAGACACAACACAATACCAAGAAAAAGACGAGAATTATCACCAAAAAAATAATAGACAAAAGGGGTGCCTAAAGATTTGAAGCAAAAAAAGAGAGAATTATAACCACGAGCATCTCCAACCGATATGTCAAAAGTACCACATACACATTTAACAGCTAGAAATAACATCTTACATCACTCCAACCGATGTGTCAAAGCTGATGTAGAATGAAGGTTGGAGGTTGAGGATAAATTATAGAGTGGTACGGTATCACCACGTCAGTTGGTGATACTCCCACTCAGAATTTACCACGTGTCTTTATTAAAATAAACTTTTAGCTGTTTTTCCAGCAGGATATTAATTTCAATTTTACCCTTTAGGAAAAAATTAAAATAAAAAAAGAAGAATGTAGCGGCTAATGTTGGCACTTGGCAATGCCCTACCCCTTGTTGCCGCCCCTCCCCCTTTTCCTTCATCTTTGTTTCGCCTCATCTCTCTCTTGTTCCACGAATCACTTTATTTTGTAGTTATCTTTTATCTTCACATTCCAAAGGGTGCAAAAATTTACGCTGCATACAAAGAGTTTCTTGGGGATTTTAGTTAAGTTTGTTTTTATGCATAGTTAAATTAGTGATTATTCCCGTACATATTTTGGAACGAGTTTCAGCACTTGCTCAACTCAGAAATTGCGTACAGAGTTTCTGAGATCTTCTCTTGTTAAACCCATGTGGGATTGAGAGCAAAATTGGACAAAGTGAACTTGGAACAGGAGGTTTTGAGGGAGATGAAGACAACCTAGATGAGGAATTTGAAGTTGGTGGGAGGTTATCGCACGGTCTTACTTTTTTCTTTTTTCCCTTTTTATTTTAATAATTTTATTCTAAAGTATAATATTGGAAGCTAAAGTCCAGTTGTACAAACAATTAAATTTTCTTTTTTAAAATAGATGTGTGGCAAATTCTGAGTGGAAGTTTTTCCGACTGACATGGTGATACCGTAACATTCTATAAATTCTCGAAGTTGAGATGTTATTTTTGACATCCCAAAGAAACATATCAAATGAATATTTTATTCTTTTATTCTTTTTTTATTTTCTTTTTAATT